TCTCCCCAACTAACAGAACTCACAGCAATCAGAGGAAAAAGTGTGTCCAGGACAATGGCAAAGAGGAGCAGTCACGACTCCCGTGACTCCCGATATAAACACGTATCAAAGATTTTACAACGGGTTCACAGGAGGATTCCAGGAACGCCACAGATACAGAAAACAAGGAATTCTGAAGTGAATTTACAAATAGATGTGAAACAGGTCTGTCTACAGGGACACAATCTGCGTTTCTATGGACAAGAATAATCAGTATTATTATCAGTCTTCTACAATTTACAGATTGTAAAGTAGCTCAAGGACAGTAAAAGGCAGAGAACCTGGATAGGTGAGTTAGACAGGACTTCCAATAATTTTTTTTTTTTCCTTTTAAAAACTTTCACAATATTTCCTGACAAGTTAGTAGTTCAAGGGACATGAACAAACAGTCCACAGAAAGAGAAATACAAGTAGCCTTTAAGATATTTTTAAAATATCCAAACTTACTTATAATGAGATAAATGCTAACTAAATCAATATTTTCTGTCTTGAAGAGTTGCTGGTGAAAGTGAAAAATCAAAGTGAAACCACTATGGGGCTCTCTGGCAACATCCGTCAAAGTTACAGATGCATTTACCCGATGACTCATCAATCCTATGTCCAGAAATCTACCCATCAGATACGCTCGCCTACATGTAAAATCAACTGTTTTTGTCATAACAAAAGTTGATTGGAAAAGGCTAAGTGTCCACTGACAGGAATGGAATTAGGGAAGATGGAATGCTGTGACACTTTTTAGAAAACAGCAGCTCTTGGCGCCAACATTACAGAGCAGAGTGTGTGGCAGACTACCTTTGGGTTAGAACCAAGGGATGATAGGATATGTATTCATAACTGACTTGTATTCACATAAAGAAACACAGAAATGATACACCAGAAACGAGTATACATGGCCACCTGTCATGGACTGTGTGGAGGGGGGGGTGCCAGGACAAGACTGAACCTCTTCCTGTAGTTTCCATATTTGGACCATGTGACTGGATTACCTATTCAAAATGTTACCTTTTTTTCAAAATGACGATTTGGGTTTTCCTAACAGCCCAGGCTGTAAATGGTGAGGTGGTGATGGCAGGTAACAGTGATATTTTTCTCTTTTTCCTCTTGTCTAACTGCATTGTGTCTAACTGGAGAGGTCTGGACACCTTCACACACACTGCGCCTGCCCACTCGTGCTTTCTAGCTTCATTTTCCATAACTAGACTGTTGTCCCTGATGATCTCGTGCCTCCTGGAACCTCCTCCCTTATCCTCATTAAGTGCTTTAAACATAGTAGGAGCTCCTTACAGCCATTAAACTGACTTATTGTCCTTGTTCCCTGAACCTCAAGGAGCCACGGGAGCCCACGGCTGAGTGAATCAAGGATTATGTAGCAGAGATGTCTGGACGAAGGACAGGCTGGAAAAGTGGAGAGGTGCCCATGGGGAGAAGGACCTTCCTGCAGCAAATGATCCTCCACAGACCACCCTCTCGCATGACTAAACAAAATATTTAACATGTGAAAACTTGAATATTTGACTTGAATTTTAAGCAGACCAAATGGAGGCTTTAACTGTTCACATTACAAAGGACCACGGGGTCTCTGTAAACAGCTTCTCAAATGTTTCTCCTTATATCCTGAAACATTTGATAGAGTTAGAAACTAAGAGCAAAGTGTTAGCCTCTGCTGACAGATTATCAATCAGGCACTGAGATATAAAATTCTGAACTTGGCTGTTTAAAAAGAATCCTGACGTTCTGGGGACTTCCCTGTTGTTCAGTGCAGGATACCAGGCGCCCTAACTCCTATACCACGAAGGGAGGCGGGAGGGGCCGCTCTGCTATTACTTGCCGACAGGGCATATCGGCACGGACGACGCCCCCAGACACCCTGAGGCGTGTGGCCAGGTCACCCTGGCTCTACTGTGAGAAACACACGAGTCCCTTCCTCCCTGTGCAGCCCCGGCTGAAGCAGGTTAGTTCCGAGGAGCACCAGTTGCTTGATGGTGAGACGAGGCACTTGCCTCATCACCGTATTTTGGTTAGAGGATTAGTCTGAAGAACAGCGTGTGTAAGGGAAACAGGAAGACCGTCTAGTCTCACCCTTCTTTGTAAAGACGGGAAAGCTTATGTGATCCCCTGTGTTGGCAGAGCCAAGACTGACCCTCAGTCTCTGGCTCAGGCCTTGCTGTCCCTGCTGGACACAGACTCGGAGGAGGGTGGGCTCCTCCCCGACTTCAACCCAGCAACAACCCATGGTTGGTGCTCAAATGTTTATTGACTGAATAAGTGAAAGAGACAGAAGTTGGAAAATTAAAACATTTAAAGCCCAAACTATCAGACTCAGAAACTTATTGCTTTTGAAAGAAAAACCAGAATCAGAAGTTAATTCTCAAAAGTTTGCCTTATTACTTGTGTGTCTTACAACAGGAATCAGCAAACTACAACCCCAAAGCTGGCCAAATCCAGCTACTATCTATTTTTGTAGGGCCCACAAGCTAAAAGTAGCATCTATACTTGGAAAAAATCCACAGAATAATATTTCATGATGGGAGAATGATATGAAGTTTACGTTTCTGTGTTCTTAAATACAGTTCTGTTGGACCAGATCCTTTCCCACAGATCTGAGGGCTGCACCTGGGTCACAACATCAGGACTTGAATGGTTCAGACAGAAGCCACCTGGCCCTTTACAAACATGTCCGCCACCCCAGCCTTAGCAAGCTGGTGAGGATCCGGTTCAACCCTCACTGGAGCTGTTGCCAAGATGCAGCATAATCAGTGTGCCACTGCCCGTCCAGGTGTAACTGCCCGCTAACGACCAATGGTTTAACCTCAACCAAAAGCATCCCTAAGACCCGTCAAGACCGGCCAACTCACCTCACAGCCCACTCCTACCTCCAGGAACCCCAGCCGGTGACACCCCGCAGCCATTGTCCAGGTGACGCTGACCTGAAAGCCGTGCTGCCCCCTTGGTGGCTAGGAGCTTTGCTCCGCGAGGAGAGCGTCTGTCTTTGAGGATTCACCCCCTGGCTCTCAGCTTCGGATGCTTTTGATGCTGCCTGACCTGTGGGAAAGCCCATTGGACAGTGGTCAGGACAGGTGGCCTCTGCCCTCTCATGGGAGGCTGAGGAATGGGATGCACAGCAATGCTGCCCCTTGCCCCCCAGGTTCAGGGAGCATGGACAGGGCCCAGGGACCGCCAAGGGTGGCTTGACAAGATGCGTGGGTGCATCCAGTCCCTCGGAAAAAGTCCCATGGGAATGCAGGGAGGGGGCAGCTCTGGCCGCACATGGCCCTCACCTCACTGCTCCGTCCCGGGCTCTGCCGAAGTGCGGGTCCCAACGCGGTCCTCGTCCTCCTGACGGTCAGCAGAGCGGAGACGCATCAAGTTAGCAGACCTCTGCCCCTCAGCGGCTCCCCCACATCTCCTGAACGTCTGCTCGGGCTGGTCTGGCCCGCAGAGAACACATGCCCTGGTCCCCCCAGGGAAACTGGACAGGCCCAGAGATATCTGTCAACACGTGTCAACACCAACACGAGGTAGGGAAACGAAGCAACACGAGGGGAGCTGAGGCCAAGCCTGGATCCTCTGCGCCCGCACTGCCGGGCTTCCCTTCCTCCTTCTCACTTTCCATTTCTGTTCCTTTGCTTTTCCCCTGGTAGGTCTGTCCCCCGAGCCCGACAGCCCCACGTGGGGCCCCGCGCTCTCTTCACAGGTGACGAGTGAGGAGCCGCGGAGTCGAGCCACCTGCTGGCCTCCTGCCCTGACGACCAGCACGACCGGCCCGGCTGCAGATGCCGTCCATCTGCTAGAGGCCTCTGTGCCAGCCCTGGGTGGGCCTCCAACTCTCCCCCCATGAACGACCGAGTTGGGGGTGACAGTGATGTGCAGGATGGAAGGGGGAGCCGAGGGGTCACCGAGACACAGGGGATCCACCCCAGCCAGAGGAGCTGATGCGTGGACCACCTCGAGGGGTCACCACCGCCAACCACCGCCCGAGGCAGCACGGCCGACCCAAGTCTCTCACTAAGGTATCGTACTGACTTGGTCTTGCCCAGCTATTTTGTTCATGGATTAACCTTAAAAACCGAAAGACAATAAGAGGTGAACTGAGGAGCCCACTGTACTGGAGCCAGAGCGGCCGTGACGGGAAAGATGCCCTCTCGGGACACAGTGCCCGCCTGCGGGCCGGCAGAAGAGAAAGGGCTGGCCCACCGGTGGGGACGGGGGTTGTGGGTTCTGCTGCGAAGATGTCGTAAGTCGAGACTACAAGTCACAAGTCACGTGGGTGTCAAGGAAACGGAACCTCTCTCCTCGGAAGCAGTGACACCACGTTCCTTGAGGTGGACACATCACCCGACGTGGGACACCGAGACAACGAGGACGGTAAGACCCAGAATGATGATTGACCAGCTGATCAAACTCCTGACTGTGTCCCCAGACCTCAGCATCGTGCTGGAGGACGCAGAACGCAGCACCAGAAGAAACTCTACGCACGCACAGGAACACACACTCTGCACAAAGCACGGCCACACAGAGCGGTTCTGTGTCAGCAACGTTCTGAGTCACCCAATGCAGGTGGTCTGCACCAGCCACCCACTTTTATACCCCCCATTAGCGCGGGACGGTCCTGGTACAAGTGGAATTCTAACACAAAGGCACTCGGGTGAAGCCTGTCGATCTGTGTGCAGAATCAGTTCTACTGATTTTCACGTGTATTAGACTTAAGCTTTTGTAACCATTAGGCTGGTGGTCAGTTAACCCGCTACTACTTTTTTTTTTTAAACATCTTTATTGGAGTATCCCGCTCTTTCCAAGAGATGAAGCCAAGATCAAAACAAAGATAATCTGGGTTGGAATCGTCAGCGAGACCTATGTCCTGGCAAAGCTTCCTGCCGAGGAGCAGCAGAGAGTATGTGCTCACAGACGCACACTCCTTGTTCCTAAAAGTTACCAATAATCTGTACACTTGGAGCAAAATATGAACAAATATATTTAGATATATTTAAAAGAATTAAAAAAAACATTTCACAAAACATTTGTTGCCATAGGAAGATTTTTAGCAATAAATGCCCACATCAAAATTTAAACATTGTTCAAAGTATGATTATCTATACTGATAAGTAATGCAACAAATTATGTAAACAGAGTCAGATACATTCCTGGTAGGAGTCACTTCCTTCCTAGGATGGAAGCTGGCCCAGTTTTCCAGGGGACCAATTAAGAAACTGCTATTTTCAGAGCAACAAAAATAAAAGCTTTTATTTGTTCATTTGAATATAAAACAGGCGTTATCACAGATGTACAAAGCTTACTGGTGGTTTAACATACGAGAAGGTTGCCGTCCTTTGCACATAAAAATTTTGTTTGAAACCGTGATTGGTTGAGTACATGAATTTCTCTAACCAGTCACCACACTATGAAATAACGCTGCTAGCATCCAACTGGTAAAAGGGACCGTTTCCCTTGGGTAAAGTGTCAAGCAGGATTAAATAGATATAATAAACAAGCACCATGAGGAAGCCGCCCTGTCGGGTTGGTCTGAGTCTCAGTGATCACTGTGTACCCTCCTGTGTGCAAGGTGATCACACGGTTTTGTCTGACTTCAAAAGCACAAGGTCACAAGACAAACACTGGTTACGTTCTCATGAATGACTCATCCACAGCACAATTCCTAGTACAGAACGATCTTCCTTTATTGCTAAACGGGTGGTACTTAGTGTCTCCTTTCCTTTTTCTTGCACAACAGAACTTGGATCCCAGCCCTGAGCCCTCTGGACCTCGACGCTGACACAGGACAGCAGGACCGACCTCACCCCACCTCGCTGGGTCTCGCGAGCCACCTGCAGTCCTGCTTCCTCATCAGTGTCGGACCCGAAACCTTAAACCCCTCCCCCTACACAAGGTGGGCATGTGTGTCTTTTCTGTGTGTGGTGGGGTTTTTTCCGCCTTAGGAAGCAAAAGACTGGGAATGTGTATCTGAAGCATGTAGAGAAATATTCATACACAGCAATGAAGTCAAACAATATTTTAAAAATCAAATAACTTGTGGAGATGGAACAACGCACCCCACATGCAGACAATTTTTTTTTAAATGCCACTTAAAATTTTAACAGCAATTAGCCTTGGATCTCAGAAGTCAAACAAAACTCTCTTGTAGCAAAGGGCTCACTGCCAGCACAGAGCAAAGGCAGATAAGACAACCTCACAGAAAGGGTCTCAGTCTCGCCAGCAGCAATCTTAGTCATGCAGACCTGACACAGCCCCCGTGGGGCGCACTGGGGCAATTACAAAGTGAATCTTGCTCGGACAGCTGATACTTCTTCCTGGCTGGAGGCAGACGGGCTGATTCAGTCCGGGAGTGTGCGAGGAGCTCTGAAAGTTCCAAGGCGTGTGAGGCGGCAGCAGCAGCAGCAGCAGCAAGAGATGGAAATCAGAAGTGTGTCCTCGCAGGAGGTGCGGTGATGGGGGTGGGGGGTGGGGGTTGGGGGCCTCCTGCCCCAGCCAGTGGCTCTGTTGTCCTGGCAGCGGGGGCGGCTCCCCAGGCACGACCCCCTCCTGGTGAGTCTCTTCCCTTAAAGCCGCTGAGGGAGTCAGCACAACCTGCTGCAAATGACCACAGAATGACGTTCCTTTCATACCGAGGACCAAAAAAAGGTGACACAAACAAAAATGATGGGAACATTGTGCAATGACTTCTTGTGGCCGAGAGAGCGCGTGCTGCGGGCCAGCTGCTCCCCAGGCCGTGCAGTGCGGTGGGCACGCGGCACTGACAATCCGTTGAGACCCCGCAGCAGAGGGAAAAGTGCACGTCCAGCTCCGATCCGCCACCTTTGAGGCGACAGCGCCACTTGCTGGTCTCTGGTTCCAGAGGAAAGGTTCCGACTGTGCTGCTGGCTGTCTGGCCGCGCACACCAGCAACGGGCGAGAGTCTATCTACAGTGCAGTGGAGGGGACGCCATGCAAGTGACAGGTTCTGCGTTTTAAACTTTAAAATCTCCTTTGTTCTTAGTGAATTTATATTTCATATATATATATTTGTTGTGATGCTATCCACGCAAGATAATACAACACTTTTTATATTAGCAAACATTACAAGACTTTAATATTCTTGAATGTTTTCTCTGTTATACTTCTAAAGAGATCAAAATAAATTAAACGTTTTGTACATAATTACATAAGAAGTTAACTTATTTTAGCATTTTAGTTTAGTACAAAGATATCTGCAAGGTAATTGCCGAAATACACCTTATTTATAATTTCTTCTCATTCCATGCTAAAATTCAAAGGCCGATTATTAGCCTGTTTCTTCAGCACATTTCTGACAAAGAAAGCTGCTAAAATCTAATTGGAAGGTGCTATTTGGAAGGTTTTCTCGTACCTCAACAAACTGTCCTAAAAGGATGAGCTCCAGCAATGGCTTAAGTTAGTAGCAGGTCCATGGCATTAAGATTTCATGACACATTAAAACAGAGAAAACAATTCTTTGTCACACTACATAAATTGTTTAAAAGAACCCATCTGGAGGGCAGAATATTTTTTTTAATTGCTAGTTTGGCTTAACAAAATACCACATTTACGAAGAAAGCACTTATTATCCAATAATTAAAAAAAAAGAAAAAGTTTTTGAAATGGGCTTTTCCAATAAACTGAAGGCAGTAACGCAAAGTCCTTCTGAGCAAACTTCACATTTCTCGTCTCATCCCCGTGCCGATCAGGACGAGTGGAAAGTCTCCTCCCCACCACTTGGCAAAAGCTCCGCTCGGGAACTCGCCCTGGCGTCTGCACACTCGCGACACTGAGCAGATGGCCCGCCTCTGGGAGTGTCTACATGTTGTAGGCCACGTAAATGGGGTCCAGCTGGTCGGCCAGGAAGCCGTCGCGGAGGTGCATGCGCTGCTTCTCCCCCCGGGAGTTGATGGGGATGACGCCGATGTCCACCACCACCACCACCCCCACCACCAGGTAGTGCTCCTCCAGGACCACGTTGGTCACCAGGGGGACCAGGTCCAGGGCTTCCTGCTCGGACCCGTCGAGCTCAACCACAACCACCAGCAAGTTTGTCCAGGTGAACACAGCACTGGAAGAGAGAGAAGCATCACTGTACAGCGGGGCTTGAACTTAACGATCCTGTTTTCTTTTCCAGACGTTCCATTGGGTTCTTTGTGGACCTGCCCGGGCGCTAAGCCTCCTCAGGCCTGTTGGTCCCTGACCGGCTCTCACACTCCCGTCACGCGCACCTCCTACCGACCTGCTCTCGCGGTGGCAGCCCCGCCCCTGCCCTCCCTGGATCCACACACCCCTAAGGGTGGAGTCTGTCCCGCCGGGTGATTGGGTCAGCCTGCAACATGGTCTGTGGGCTTGTTGCTGAGGCTAGGACAGCGGGGGCACTGGGGCTGGTCCTGACTTGCCTCTGCCACCAGGGGGATGAAAAACATGTGCAGAAGAGTTGCCAGCCCCTGGCCCGCCTGACCCGTGGGCTCCAGCCACGCTGGGGTCAGATACCTCAGCGTTCGACTGCAGACCCAGGGCACATTAACTGATTCCTGTTTGAAGTACTGAGTTTAGGATGAGGGCAATGCAGTGAGACCTGACTCATGTGGGGTAATTCCTGGAGAACTCCAGAGATGCACCCAGAAGTGTCTTATTTTGGATCTTTCAACAGGAGTGCCACCCAGAGTATTCTGTCTGCCCAATTTGTAGACGCCTAAGAACAGTGTTTTACACATTAAGCCACTTCAACATCACATAGTTGGGCTTTTAAAACGTGGTTGTTTAAGAGCCTTAACACACACTGCCCTTGGCCACCAGAGCCGCGTGGAGGACAGGCCAGGCTCTGGGGCCCTGCAGTGGGCTGCGGGGATCTTTCTCTTGCCAGACACAGAGAAGGTTCTATCTCAGTTGTGAGGCAGGAACTATCTGGGAACATTCACTATTGCTTCCTGAAAGCACAGAGTATGCCTATTAGGAAAAAATGAATATTTTGTTCAGTACGGCCAATGAATACATGAAAATGAAAGGGAAACACTGGAGAATGTGTTCAGCAGACCCCTCCTTCTGGAGTTTGCTTTGTGACGGACGTGTACACCTAAGGGAACAACCTTGTGGGGAGCTGTTCCCGAGAAGAAGGGCCAGCGCCGAGTCCCAGGGCACAACTCCCAGGCACCGGGCACCGCTCCACAAGGGCCGCGCCTTGAGCCCATGAATCACATGTGGCTACTCTGATGTGCGCTGGGGACAATCTTATCCTGGCATTTGAAATCGATGGCGCAGCATCAGGACCAGCTCAGACTCCACAGTTAACTGGGGAGGGGGTTTGCCAGGAGGCCGCGGGCTGCTGCCGGCTACTCTCCTTCCGCCGGAGCTCTCCTGGGGGCCGCGGTGGCTGAGAGGGCCGGGGGGCTGGACTGTACTCAGTGAGGCAGTCACAGATGTGACCTGGCATCACATCCTTCTTTCTCTGCATGAAAGTGACGGATGGGGGCACCCTGTGGGGGGGCCACAGGCAAGGGGGAGGGAAATAACAGAACAGTTGTGCTGTACAGACTCCAACAGAGAGAAACCCTTCGGAATAAAATGCAGCTTTATTCCACGTCACGGAATCTAAGCAATGCTCAGGGCAGAAAGGAGAAACCTACGAGGGGCACCCCTGCCACACACTTTTAAGTGGAAACGGCACCTTTTCAACTAGATAGAAAATACTCGAGGGAGGCAATACAAGCCAGTCAAAATTATTTTCTTAAAAATACAAAAACTGAAGGCTGTGATTGGTATTTATAGCTATTCAGATGGAAATTGAGGTGGGCCCCTGCCAGTGTCTGGGCTGATACCTTTCCGGGGTTTCTGCCCTGCCCTCCTCGACACACGAGTGGACAGGCAGCTTTGGCAGGCGGAGGACTTGTGCTCCAGACGGGCTCCGTCACTGCTCGCCCCGAAACGCGGCACCAAGTGGGGACGAGGCGCTCCCGTCCACCCGACTCTCCTGTCTGCCAAGTCCTCTGTGCAGTGCAGTGCGTGGCCAAGAACACCAGCCTGCGTCAGCTAACAAGAGGCAGCCGACAATCTCAGACCAACCCACCTGCCGAGAAAACTGCTCCCGAGAGGCTTTGGAACGAGCCTCCCCTGGGGCTCCTGCCCTGAGCTTCCAGACCGGCTCCATCAGGCCTCTGCCAGTTCAGGGACTAAGGGAATGAGCAGACCTGCAGCCAATGGTGCTGAAGCCACTTTTCACTCTCAAATGCCACGAAAAGGCCCTGAGGAGGTCGTCAGCGCTGCAGCCCCCAGGCCAGGCGGTGATCTGGGCACACTCACACATCACAGCCAACCAGAGAGCCAGGGAGAAGCGTGGCCTGCAAGGCTCCTCACCCCCAAGGACGGCTGGGGTGGGTGACTTGTCACTGACAACCCAGTGATGCTGGCAAACGCGGCCCCTCCTGGAGCCTAAGGTCTTCCCACAGGAATGCTGCGTTTAGGCTCCCGCGGACTGTCTATTTCCCCTACATCACGCCTTCCTTAACAAAAAACCAAATAAACGGCTCCCTGGAAACACTGCCCAGCCGTCTGTATGTCACTCTCGGGAAAAGCAACAACTCTGCACTAGGAGTGCTCTTCAGAGGTTCAGATTCACCCTGGAAAGCTGACTCCGCCCAGGACCCCGTGCCCTCGGGCTGCCGCCCCCTCCTCACCATTCCGTGACGCTTTTGTGGGCTCTGATGACGGAGGTCTCGATGTCTATCGGGTGATACCTCATGCCGCGCAGCTCCATGGCCTCATCTAGGGCCCCCACCACGTAGAGGGCGTCGTGGCGCTCTGTGCAGGGAATGGAAACCGTGTGAGCTTCACCGCAATGCCGCTCAAACCGCTTAAAAAATAAAAAAAGACTACCCCTGAATGGGAAAGAGATGCAAAGAAAAGATCACTGAGCAAGGGATGCTGTCTCCCTTCTACCAGGGAAACTCTGCAGCCCGAGGCTTTCAGGGAGAAGGTGCAGGCGGAAGTGCTGCCTGGCTCAGCGCTGGCCGCACGCCTGCACATCCCTCCCCTCATCCCACAGGAGTAGCCTCCACACGCCGTCAAGTGCGTTATCACACAGCCCTCAGCAGCATCAGCACCGCCGGGACACGGGCCAGCAGACCTGCTCCCTGGAGTCACATGGTGAGGGCCCAGCACAGCCCAAGTTATGCCCAGTTCCCTCTGGTGCCAGCACATGAGCTCTTAACTCTCTTATTACTGCACGTCTGAGCGGGAAGAGGAAGCATAGTTTCTGAGAATGTTCATGAACAAAAATTTCCTTAGCTTGTGTAATTGTTCAATTTATTCTCATCAGCTGTGCAAACCTTGGGATAATGACAACATGCAGTCTGTCCATCTTTCCTTAAAAACAAGGAGACATCTTTAATCTTTGGACTAGTAAATCTATCACGGTGAGCTTGAGAGAAGTGACTGACATAAAACACTAGAAAATAAAGCTTTTCCAGTTTAAGTCAGATGAGGTGGAGGCAGTTACTTGCTGGCTTCTAACCACAGCTGCCGTGGGGTATCCCACTGTCCCAGCCCCCGGGCTCCGCAGGATGGGACCTGCCCTGCCTCCTGGGAGGTCTGGGTGTTGCTAAGCTTAGTTCTTCAAGGAACCCCAGATAGCATCCTCAAGTAAAACAGTCTATGATTTTCCCAAATTGAAAATGCAACACCAAAATATCTTGTACTTTTCCCCTAAATTCATGCTGGTTCAGCCAGGTTGGCACAGCTCCCATCAGACAGGTGGGTCAGGAAGGCTCAGGCCCCATCTCTATGTAATACCCAAGTCCTGTCTCTGTTTTTAGTGAAATAAAGAGTGGAGAAAGGATTCCAGGATCAGCAAAGACCTGGAGAGCAGGCAGGCTCTTAATGTGTTAGTTCTGCGTTAACACCCACGCCCAGCGCCAGACCCTCAGAGCTGCTGCTCCCCTCAGGCACCTTGCGGCACCAGGCCTGCTGGACAGGTGCAGAAATGCAGAGCGCCCGAGGCCAGCGCCTCCTGCCCTGGAAGAGAGTAGCAGGGCTTCAGGAGGGCCTGGGCTGGGCTGGTGGCTCCAGGACTGGCGACAAGTCTGTGAGCTGCACTTACAGGCACTTGTTGTGGACAACACGGCACCTGGCTCTTGCCTCTGGTTTTAAATGTGTTCCCGGCTCACATGGGAGCACAGAGCACATGACATGCAGCTTCCACTGCTGGATGCACGTGCCCTGAGCTGGCGCTCTCTCACCCTCGGCTGTTTTCAGGCTGGCTTGCAGCAAGCATGCACGCATGCTCGTTCTCCTGGGATTGGGATCCCAAACCCCAAATGGGTTTCCGGGGTCTGAGGACCTTCGTGCCGCCTGTTGGGACTCTCACCTCCGTTTGCATCAGTGAGTTCAGTTCTCCGCAGGAACCCCAAATAGCCTGTTCGTGCCCAGATGGTCTGTGTGTCTCCAAAACTTAATCTTGAGTTGAAGTGATCTGACTGGAGGGATTCATCTCCGTAAATAGTGAAATAACCACTGGCATTGTGGGCACTGTGAACCCAGATCTGTTAAGGAAGCAAAATATAACTGGATAAGTTAACTTGAGATGATCTCCAGGGCAGAAGCTACTTTTTCAATTCAATAGATTATATTCCGTGCTACTGAAACTGTCCTTGCCCTCCAAAAACAAGACGATTCCAGTTTCTGGGGAGACACAGATGCCACAAAGTTTATTGAAATGAAGGCATGACAGCAAGCTCATGGCTGAGCAAACAACCAAGCCATCATCTGTTGAGAATTCTATTAAAGCAGATGGATTGAGGGCTTTTGAAATAAACATCAAATGAACGAGGTTGTATGAGTTTCCTTGTATTTATTCAAATGTACCGACTGTTTCTAAAAAGCAAGCTGGAAAAATGTTAAAAAGCTTTGTGATTTATTTTCCCTTTCATACTTTTGGGTTTGCATACTTTTGGGAATATTACATTGTAATAAAACAACACAACACAAAACAAACTCTAGCAGGGAAAGGCATTGTAACATCAAAAAATGGGGGACAAAAGTGCCTAAGTGTGGAAATGGGAAAGAAAGACCTGCTGACATGGTGCCGACCACGTGGGCTGAGCAGAGCCAGGGACAAGGCAGAGGAGCCCATCAAGTCCGCACAGATAAGGCCCGGAGGAGCCGAGGTCTAGCCAGCGGCCCTCAGTCGTGCCTGCTAAGCAACGGGGAAGCAGACCAGAGACGGAGGGCACCCCGTCGAGCGAGGGGAAGGAAAACCATCTCTGTTAAGACACGTTCCCAGTAGAACATCAGGGTGCAGTGGTCCCTGCCCCTCCGCCCAGCGCACCCGCTCAGCTCCAAGCAAGGCCGCCCGCTGTGAGCACAGCACCCGCCGGGAGCATCTCCAGGTGCCCGAGATGGCGGGTGCTACATCCCAATTTCATTCCTAGACATATATTTAAAGGAAATCCCTAAAATACAGTGAAGCTCACAGACTAGTTCTGATCTTCACATAGAGAGAGACGAGTGAGGGGCCAAAAAACCGTCCAAGAAGAAAAAGGGTTTGGGGAGTGAGCAGTGGTTAGGACTCACGCCTCATCACTATTCACCCCTTTACGAGGTACACACATGTGCCCAGGGCACCACTCCAGGAGAGTGGCGGGGCTGGTGTGCTGGTCGGGTGCCAGCTGTGGCAGCCTTTTGCGTGTGGCCAGAACGGGTCAGAGGAAGGGGAGGAAGCTGACTGAACAGTGGGCGGCACCTGCAAGAGGGTCCTAGAGGGCAGGACAGGGTCACTGTGGGCTTGGCCTTGGAGAGGAAAACGGGGGTGGGGTGGGGAGGGGAGGCAGACATGTCAGAAGAAACAAGTCCATCAGGGAGAGAGAAGGACAGTGTAAGGCAGAGGCGGGCACACCTGGCCGGCCGAGCAGGGCAAGCTGTGGGGATGACGGCCCAGGAAGGGTCTCCTGCAGCCACACGCAGCCAACAGCGTGCAGGATGAGGGGGCAGGCGGGGAGTCACTGGCCAGGTTCATCGTCAACACAAGGGAGCAGAAGTGACTTTCTGACCCAGATAAACACCTGTCGTGTCCCCAGCCTGCCTGCCATGGTTGTTGGTGCTGTTATGATTCTGGGGTTCGCAAGAGTCCCTCTGCACGTTCTCCACCGTGTTCCTGATGAAGGACTTCCCTGCTGTGAAAGCAGCAGGCACGTGGAAGACAAACCAAGGGCTGGGAAACAAGGAACCTCAGTCCACTCACATGAAGTTTCCTCTTTTCTAAACTTTTGAAGAGAATCTATGATACTCCCTTAAGGAAATCCTACTTTGTAATCCTGAACTTTCATGGACACCCTGTACCTCACCTCACCCAGGTGTGAGTCCCTAGAACTCACCTCACCCAGGTGTGAGTCTCCCAACGGTCCTTTTGTTTCTGGATTGGCAATTATGATCCGAACCCCTGGAAGTATCTATGTTGGAAAGAAGAGTCTCATCAGCGGACAGACAGGTAGATACTGCACAATCAACCTTGACCTTGCTTTCATGCCATGTGCCTATTTTCCTGATTAAAATGGTTTAGAAAGTGAATGGCTTTAAATCAAAATTATATACCACAGCATTATATAATTACAGCAAAACAATTCCATTTCATTGTAATTATTACAGTGACAGAGCCTGTGTTAAAGTGATCCTAAAATTAAGAATTTGAACAAAAACATGATACATGATATAATTTAACAGGCTCAATGCTTGCAAAATAGGATTTAGTAGAGCTGCTTTCTGGTGTCCAGAAGAGACGGCCGTCACCACCCACGCGTCTGCCGAGCCACGAGGACACCGCGCCTGTGGCTCTGCCCCTCTCCTCCACCACACCGCCCACTTTTCCTGCTGGTAAACATCTTCTAGTACAATGTCGATAGGAAGCACCTCCTTCTTAATGGACGTTTAGCTCAGAAATGCTCCACATTCCACTGAAACCACGTAATGAAGCAAAACCGGATTCTGGAAATTTAGAACAGAACCCGTCTCAGTTCAGCTAATTAACACTGTGCGGTTGAGATAAGGCAACACATCTGTGGTGAACGCTCCTGGAACACGTCTGACGAACGGCCCGCCAGACCGACTTGGGTGGGTGGGTAGCGCCGTGTCCCACCTTAGAGCCAACTTAGTACCAAGAATTCTAATGGGCAATCATGTAGGCACAGACTGTAAAAGGTCCAAAAACAATATGCTTTTAGAATTATGTTAAATGGAGAAGAGATCTGACGATTGGAGCCAAAAAAGAAAAATAAAATCTTCAATTACGTTTAAATACGTTTCTTGCATTTAGTTCTATAAACAAGATAACCACCATTGCAGGAACGACTAGCTGTCCCCTGATAACCATTCTTTGTCCAGCTCCACAGTAAACAAGCCCCAATTGTCAGCCAGGCCCGTAGACATTCAAAGCCAATGTAGTGCTGCCAACCTGCCTTTCAGCTGTGGGTGACAATGCCCAGGGATACTGAAGTGTGAGTGAGGCAGCTGAGGAGCTGTCCTTACAGTCTGCACCTTTGGCCTCCTCCTTTTTCTGCTTCTCCTCCTCTGGCTGGAATGTGCAAAGGAAGGCTGGAGCTGGAAAAACCACTCTAGACCCTGAGGTACCCTTCGGTGGGGGGAGGCCAAGACATAAGATGCCACGGTCCCTGGTGGTTTCTTCTACATGAGAAAAAAACCTAACTCATTTAAAACACTGTCATTTTGAGTTTCTGTGCTCATGGCCAAAACCAGTCCTGATATACTACATTCAAGAAAACTTTTTTGAAAAAAAAAAATCTACCATCTATTTCTTGAATTTTCAAAGCCCATAAACTGAGACTCGTGTTTATATGGACATGCATACGCCTTCCTTCAATACTTACTTTTCCTGATTCCATTAGGGGCAAACTATGAGGAGATCCTCTTTCTACTAAACGGACTCTACAAAGAGAAACAGAAGGTGTTACTGTGTTTTCTGTACCAGCGGTTCCCTTCCCCCACATCCAGCACTTGGTCAATGCCTGGCAGTTTGATGGGGAACATTAACTCTGCTGATGAGCATTACCCAACGCAAAGATAGTCTAGAAGTCAAAGAAAAAGCAGTCGATAGTAGAGAGGAAATGGCGAGGGCCACCACACAGGCCACGGAGAATGGAGATGCAGTCCCACCTACCAACCCGAAAAATGACTGGGAACAATTCTGCATTTAAAGTAACCGGGGGTCGACGTAGCACTTGCAGAAAAGGGAAAGTATAAGGATTAAACTGCATTCCTCAATGAGCTGCCACCCCCGTGACAGCGATGCCTGGTCCTGAAACACTCACGGCCCTGCCCCTGCAGACCACAGGCAGGGCCTCAGACACAGCTGCACAGAACCCACCTCCTCAAACAGGCACACAAGAGAGGACCGGCCAGTTCAGACAGCAAAAGCTCCTTTTAGAAAAGAAGCTCTTTTCTGTTTAAAAACTATTCACTGGTGATTTAATCTTAAAACTGTGGAGGACCTTGGTGCCAGTCACAACCTGAGCTCGCTAAGTCCTTCCCCGCTGTGTTATTTTAACTATTCTGTGACTGGGTTTACATCTCTCCATGTTACTTTGAGACTGTGACGCTGACCATCCACCTACAGGCAAAAGGAAAACGGAGTGAAGGGGAACCTGCTGGGATGACCGACTGCAGAACAAGGGGGCGTCAGCAGGAGGATGGGGCCAGGGAACGCGGGATTGTCAAATTCACCAGCACGACCCATTCTTTGTACCAACACAGATCTGCCCCCATAACTGATAAGTGTGGCTGAAGGGGGATGGGCAATGAAGGAAGGACCCTGCGAGGCACAGCTTGGTGGGGCTCCTTTGCAGGCTCTGCTCCGGTCACCCAGAGTGAGGGTCCAGGGCGCGGATGACAACATGAGCAGGAGGAGGACAGACAGACAAGGTCCCGACAGAGAGGGGTGTGGGTAGGGCTCCCGTGCCGGCAGGCATCCTGGGGCTGCAGGCCTCTGAAAAGCAGCTGAAAAGCTCTTACTTTCAGGCAAAGGATGCCCTGCCTTCCAGCCAGCCTTTGGTGTGGTGTCTCGTGTGGCTGCAGACAAAAGGAGCAGAGGAGACCCTGGGAGGGCTGGAGGTACCTGAGTAGCTGCAGCAATGATGTAATGAGTGGAAGAAGTCACTGCAGCAATTCTGGATCACTTGATACCCACCACATGCTTCGGCATTTGTCTCTAGGAAGACCCTGATGCTGACAGCAAGAGATGAGGGCTATCAAAGAAAAACCACCTAGATCTTATACTACTTAAGCCTTCCAGAATGTGGGCACACCTCCTTTTATTGCACTTTGTTTGCTTTACTGCACCTCGCAGATACTGTGTTCTTTTTTTTTTTTTTTTTTTAAACAAATTGAAGGTTTGTGGCAACCCTGCATCAAGCAAGTCTATCAGTGCCATTTTTCCAACAGCATTTGCTCACTTCATGTCTCTGTCACATTATGGTAGTAATTCTTGTAATATTTCAAACTTTTTCATTATTACTATTGCATTTATTATGGTGATCTGTGATCTTTGATGTTACTATTGTAATTGTTTTGGGGTGCCACGAATTTGCCCTTATAAGATGGTGAACTTAATAAATGCTGTGTGTTCCGATTGCTCCACTGACTGGCCATTCCCCGTCTTTCTCCCCCTCCTCATTCCCTGAGACACAATGATACTGAGATTAGGCCAATTAATAACCCTACAATGGCCTCAGTGTTCAAGTGACATTCTTCTCAAGGAAACGTCACGCATTTCTCACTTTAAATGAAACAGTAGAAGTGATTAAGCTTGGTGAGGAAGGCAGGTCTAAAGCTAAGATGGGCTGGAAGCGAGGCCTCTTGCACCACCAGATAGTTAGCCAAGTTGTACATGCCAAGGCAAAGTTCTTGAAGGAAATTAAAAGTGAACATATGAAGCAGCCTTATTGCTGATATGGAGGAAGTTTTAGTGGTCTGGATAGAAGATCAAAATAGCCACAACATTTCCTTAAGCCAGAGCCTAACCCAAAGCAAGGCCCTAACCCTCTCCAACTCTATGAAGGCTAAGAGAGGTGAGGAAGCTGTAGAGGAAAGTTAGAAGCTAGCAGAGGTTGGTTCATGAGGTTTATGGAAAGCAGCCTTTTCCATTACAGAAAAGTAAAGCGTGAAGCAGCAAGTGCTGATGAAGAAGCTGCAGCAGGTTATCCAGAAGATCTGTAGCTGAGATCATTCATGAAGGAGACTCCACCGAAAAAACGGTTTTCAATGTAGATTGAACAGCCTTCTATTGGAAGAAGATGCCATCTGGGACTTTCACAGCAAGAGAGGAGAGGACAATGCCTGGCTTCAAAGCTTCAAAGGACAGGATGACTCTTGTTAGGGGCTACAACACCTGGTGACTTGAAGTTGAGCCAGTGGTCATCTACCATTCTGAAGATCCTAAGGCCTGTAAGAATGATGCTAAATCTACTCTGCCTGTGCCTGTGCTCTGTAAATGGAAAAACAAAGCCTGGATGACAGCACATCTGGTTACAACATGGTTTACTGAATATTTTAAGCCCACTGTCGAGGTGTGCTCAGGAAAAAAAACTCCTTTCAAAACACTACTGCTCATTGACAATGCTTCTGGTCACCCAAGGGCTCTGATGGAAATGGACAATGAGATACAGGATGCTTTCATGTCTGCTAACACGATATCCATTCTACAGTCCCTGGATCAAGTACTAATTTTGACTTTTAATTCTTATTATTTAAGAAATACATTTTATAAGGCTATATGGCTGCCATAGATAGTGATTTCCCTGATGGATCTGGGCAAAGGTAATTGAAAACCTTCTGGAAAGGATTTACTATTCTAGATGCCATTAAGAATATTCATGATTCACGGGAAGAGGTCAAAATATCAACATTAACAGGAGTTCAGAAGAAGTTGATTTCAACCCTCCTGGACGACTTTGAGGGGTTCAAGAAAGACTTCAGCGGAAGAAGTAACTGCAGATGTGGTAGAAACAGCAAAAGAACTAGAATTAGAAGTGGAGCCTGAGATGTGACTGAATTTCTGCAATCTCATGAGAAAACTTGGACAGATGAAGAGTTACTTTATGGATGAGCAAAGAAAGTGGTTTCTTGAGATGGAATCTATCCTGGTGAAGGTTCTGTGAAGATTGTTGGAATGACAACAAAGGATTTAGAATATGGCATAAACTTAGTAGATAAAACAGGGGCAGGGTTGGAGAAGACTGATCCAAGTTTTGAAAGAAGTTCCGCTGTGGGTAAAATGCTGTCATCAGCATTGCGTGTTACAGAGAAATCCTTCCTGAAGAGTCAGTGGCGAACTTCCTGGCTGTTCTATTTTAAGAAACTGCCACAGCCGCCCCAACCTTCAGTAAGGACCACCCTGTTCAGTCAGCAGCCGGCCACACTGAGGGGAGACCCTCCACCAGCAAAAAGATTATAACCCACTGAAGGCTCAGATGACGGTGAGCGTTTTTTAGCAACAAAATATTTTAAAATTAAGGTATGTATACTTTGTTTTTTTCAGACATAATGCTATTGCACGCTTAATCGACTACAGTATAGTGTAAACATAACTTTTATATGCATTGGGAAACCAAAAAATTCGTGCGACTTGCTTTATTGTGACATTCCCTTTACTGAGGGGGTCTGGAATCAAATCCACAGAATCTCTGAGGTCTGCCTTATGCCAACAGGCTTAACATGCCATCCTTCAAAAATAAACTAGTGGCTGCATTAAGACAATTAAAAGGGACTAAAACTCTTCGAGGACCCAGGTAGCATTATGCTAATTTAGGGTGGGTTATAATTAAAAATTACCATTAGAGCACGAAGAATCTATGGAACTTCACCTGTAGCAGCTTTCAGACAGATGCGATGCTTGCAGGAAATATCAATGCCGGGAATGATAACTTTTTATAACCTGCTGGGTCAGGAGGCTGCAGCCTGTTACACTGAACTAAATCAGGCCAATTTAAGTAGTTAGGTTAAGTGAAGAAGCCTGTGTCCAAGTGCTGGCTGGCCGACTGTGGAGTGTGGGTATTGGCAACTGGCTACGGATGGAGAAAGCAATAAAGAAAGAGGCCCAATTGGCTGGGAAGATTATGAGTGGGCAGAAGCAGGGGTGAGGAAAGAGGGAAAGAATGAAAGAGAAAGGGGCCGAGGTAGCTGCTGGCTCAGCCCACCTAGTCTGGCTGCTGCTATGGGCAGGGCAGCTGGCCAGCGAGTAGGCTGGGTGTCCTACAAAGGCCAGACAGTCAGGCAAGGGAAGGGAGCAAAACCTTTGCCAAAAATGAGGGCTGTTCTGGATAAGCTACGCTCTGCTCTTTGTCCACTCACAGCCACCACTCAGGTAGCTCTGGCCGTGGCACTATGACAGGGATGACTTCTGAGCGGGGCACCTGGTGTCATGAATGGAACCAGGCCACTTGAGCCAAGAGTGGGAGCAAGTGCCCTGGCCTGCGACTCGAGCCCAGACATTGTGCTTCTCCTCCTCTCAGACCCCAAGGTTCCCGCCAACATGGGGAGTGGAGTCCATGGCCCGGTCCTCCTTCAGCAGTGGGACTGCTGGCCACACACACTGGCCGGCCTCTGCCTCTCTGGCCAGCAGGCCTCCCCTGCTCTCGGAGTTTAGGAGTTTATCTTGTCTCCTGACCCTCCCTGCTGAGCTGAAGCCTCTGAGGAAGGCAGGCAAATGGGATGTCACCTGAGGATGTCACCTGAAATGTGGGAAACCCTACCGCTAAGAACTTCCTTGCGGCCTCCTGGCTGGGCTGCTGAGTGGTGGCAGGGACCTGGGCCAGCACGGAGGGCAAACGTAAGGACAGAACAAAGAATTTCTTCCCTGGTCAGTATGAAACGGTGCTCTCTGTCAGCAATTCACAGGCAAGCAGGAAGGGGGCGCTGGAATCACTCAGGGGTGGTCCTGTCCTGCCAGCAAATGCCACATGGGTGGCCGTTCCTTCGCTTGAAAATATCCACAGAGCAAAGAGAAAACCACCCCTTACAGGAGGAGACAGAGATGTATCTTTTGAAAGAGCTGGGAGCTACACACACTGGCAGCACACACGGGAGGGCGAGTGACTCACAGAAATACAGGAAACTCAGTAGGAGCCCTTCCCAGGCTTGCACCACAGGGAGGGGAGGCTCTCTCCTCCGGGGACCGCGCCTGCCCACACACCGTAACCCAGTGGCTCTGGAGAGGCGCCACAATCAGGAAACCACAGCACCTTCCCCACAGGAGGGCTGGCAGCACCACAGCTGCTGTCAGGAGCCGGTCACTTCAGAACCACGGACAAGAGCCCAGCGTGGGCACATCCTGACGGAGCAGGTCAAGAGGACGGGGGTGCTGGACTGCCCAGCGGCCAGCCCAGACACACAGGAAGAGGAGCTGACAGGGCTCAGTGGCGTGCACTGGGCGGCCAGGACGAAGCGTGCACGGCGTTCCTGCGTCCGGGGTGGCCCTGGGCCGAGTCTCCCATGTCCCTGGGCAGCAGGGGGAGGACAGTGCCTTCCAGGAAGGGACATGGTAATTATTCCTTAACGTAAGACACCTATTTGGGTTTCTGCCCCCTTCAGAAGGGGCCCATCAGGAGAGAGCGGCGATGAGCCCGGGCGTGCCGCAGGACCTCAGCCTGGAGGAGCTGCGTGTGGCAGCACCAAGCCAGCCCAGGGAGCAAGGCTCCCTGCTGTGACTGCGAGAGGGTGCCTCCAGGGACAGAAACCAGCAGAAAACCACGTTCAAGGGCAGGACTTTGCTTTGGTTTCTTAAGTCAAACCCTGACGAAGACGAGGAAGGGACAAGTCCAGTGCACGTGTTTCTGGTGTCTGACATCCCCTCAGCTCCCAGCCATGCCTGTCCTCTGACGCAGGACAGAGCTGAGAATGTGAAACGCGAGCCTGGAGAGTGCTCCAGGGGCAGAGGTGGGGACGACTCTGAGGCTTTCTCACCAGGCCTGGACAGGGCGGGGGTGGGATCCCTCTGACACTGAGCGATGCTACCCTTAATTGTAAAGGTCGATGACATTCCTGACAGTGTCACTAACGTATGACTGCATAGCAATTTCCAGTTCACAAAGCACTTTTACTTCTGTTTTGAATGACCAAGTCAGGAAATGTATTATAAGAGATTATTTTACAGATTAGAACAGAAGTGTCACTTAAAAGGATACAGACTTCCCAAGGTCAAAAGATTAGGAAAAGAAACTCCTACTATGACTCAGGTCTCTTGGCTCTTTCTAGAACAGTGAAATCAATCTGATACTGGACTTTTATTACTTTACCATGATACATCGTACGGGTTCCAATTTCACTTTTCCTAAATCACAACTTTTCTCAATAGGAAGATCTGCCACACTGAAGATAGTTAAGAAGGTAGGTCACAAAGCTGTCAGAAAGGAGTTTCTAGATTTCTTTCCTTTTCCAGGAAAGAAAACTCCCTGAACCCCACTCCCAACCATCCCTGGTACTCCAGGAGATTTGTAACACACAATGGGACCAACTGTCCTTTCCTGATTACTATTCTTGTAAGTCCGTCTGAGACTGTAACCTACCCTCTCAGGCCCCAAAGATCAGCAGTTTTTATCTAAATGGTCTTACAAATTTGATCTTCATGTGTTTTGAGGGCCAGGTCACAGACAGAACTGCATAAATATTACTCAAACGGCGATTCTTTGATGAGCTGTTTTTCAGCTTCTGAAGTTATAAAGTTTTTTTCAAATGATTTTTATAGGGAGTAAAGTAGATTTCTTTTTAAAGCCCAGAAGTTGTATTTGGAATTTATGCCCCTGAAACACTGTTACTTAATCTCTTCAGAGCTAAGTGTCTGCATTTTGAAAATGTTTTGGATGGAGCTCTGCTCTAGTGGGCCGGTATGCTCTGGTGGGCCAGTGGTTCTCTCTGCCACCAGATGGGCTGTATCCTGTGATTCCCTGTGAATAGCAGGGTCTAAAATGAGGGCTACAAGGGCCGGGAAGCACCTCTTAGTGTGATGTGTTTAGGTGGATGCAGCGTTTCTTGGTCTCGGCACTGCTGCCATGCTGGTCATTTGCTGTGCGGCAGGAGTCTGTCTTGCGTACTGTAGGATGTCGGGCTGCATCCCTGGCCTCTGCCCCCCGACATACCAGCAGTAACACTCCCCAGATTATGCTAATAAGACATGGCAACATGGCAACTCGTCCACTGGGGGTACAAGCACCCGGCTGGGAACCCCTGGTGTGAGTGGGGGCTGGCATTCCCCAGGATACCTGAGCCTGCATGGCACACCTGGCCCCTTCTCAGCCCCTGCAGCTCTGCCCCTGACACACTCACTCACACACAAGACTCAGTATCATGGAAGAACATGCTCAGCCAGGCCAGGCTGGGGGCTCCTGCTCTCCCAGGTGTTGTGAGCACAAGGCACACGTCAGTGGGCACCACGTGAGGACACGCAGAGAGCAGCACAGTATCCGGCCCTCACAACGCGTCCACAAGCACCTCTAGTAATTTACAAAAGGACACCTTCTACTAGAGTTCACGCTGACTATTAACACGTCAGAGAAGCATCAATGAATGGGCATCTCCACGACTACCCCAAAGAAATGACCTAATCAATGGGGAAGTCTATAGGAAAATGATAGAATTCTCTCTTCCCCCTCACGCATGTCAGGAGGGACCCCTTTGGGAGCAGAAGTTCTGCTAAAGATTCCTCATCTTGTCTCCACCTTCCCTCCCTCAAGGTGAACTCACAAGCACTCACTAGCAACACCCCCTTTCGTTCTTGCTCAAGGCTGCTTAGGAAGCTGCACAGAAAGGTCACCTGGCTTATATTTTAGTTTTTCATGGAAAAGCCTTGACACAAATTTTCAATTCATGTAAAGAAATGTGGGCAGTGTTGATATTTTATCAGGTGCACAATGGTGCCTGACTAGAGCGTTCAAGTAAAGGACCAAGTCTTCTGGGCAGACTGTGAGAAAAAGCAACTCTGGTTGCAACGGCTCTGGGTCAACCGTTGTCATTTGTGTCTGAAAACAAGAACTTGGTTGCTCGCTGGGTACCTCACGCAGTAAATGTGGAGAGTTGTGAAAGCTCGCTCCATGAACCACCTTGTTTGGAGCAGGCACCAAGAACACAAAAATCACAATACCTGTCGTGTCTCAGAGCTCTCATGTCCACGTAGACGGTGGTCGGATCGGGCCCCGAGGTCCCCTGCAAGCAAGGACACAGTGAGGTTAACACGAGTTTGCTTTGGAGGAGCTGGGTCTGGGCTTCCTACTGGCTAGGGAGCATTTCTATGGTAAAGTATGAACAAAACCCAAAAGCACTAAAGCCACACCTCTCAACTGATAACCCAACTCCGAAAGGAACATCTTATTAAGATAATACTGGACTTTCACACGGCTTGACTGTCAATCACATTTATGAAAATTAGAAAGAAAAGGGGCATCTTGCCAAATAAAAGGCTGAAACTACAGAGGCAGCATTTTGGCAAAAGCAGGTCGCTGAGGATGTGAAGCATCATTTGCTGAGAGATTTTCACCACATGCATCCCAAAAGGTGTATTTTTAGGGCTCAAGATATTGAAGCAGAACACGTGACATGAGCTGACAGATTAAGGAAGAAGAGATAAAAGATAATGACCTTGTTCCTTCTAGTTCTAATTGTGCCTTGGTTTTCCTCCAATGCGGGAGGCCATTTCTGCCCAAGACATAAGTCAGGGAGGTTGTGTGTTTACCACTGGTCATCTGGGCAGCACCCTGTGTTCTGAACTATTCATTTACCACAGGGTCCAGAAACCTTATCTTGGCATCATAAATCTCTTCAAAATATATGCTGAGTTGACTTCTGAACAGTGATCTCTGCTCATGTAAGAGCAATGGCATTAAAGCTGCATTACAAACCAAAATTCTACATACATTTCTTAGGAAAGTAATGCAATACCTTGGGTAGAAAAAGAACCTAAGAAAAATCTGCCAAAAAATAAGGGAGCCTCTCAGAATTTATTTGAAGAACTACACTAAAATTCCTCACGAGAGAATCTTAATCTTATACCAAAGGCACGTTTAAATATAAGAAAAAGATAAAAATAAAGACACCTTTGTTGTACCATACTGGACCCCCCGATAATCCTCCCCACAGAGAAAGCACATGCAATCAGCCTGGAGGAGGAGCTGCACTGCCGTGTGGCCACGGCGCCCTCGCTGATCTGTGACTGCTTGGGGGAGCTGTGTTACAGACCAGCGCTGAGTGGAGAAGCGGTTTGTGGTCTGAGTAATGCAAAGCACATAACCATAAGAGGCCAATTAAAAACAAACAAATCAGAAAACAGGTCACTAGAAGTGGAAAATGAAATAAAACGGAGATGACCCCAAACTGATGGTATAAATGGAGGCACAGCGTATGTCACAAACGCGAGACGTCTGACAAGATCTGAGAAGTGACACCGCGCTGGCCGTCAGCCCTCCTGACCACGGGTCTAGAAGCCCAGCCCATCTCTGCACTCAACTCCTAGTCTGCCCACTGCTGGGAGCTGACGAGACGGTGGTGGTTAGCAGGCACTGGTGTGGATGAGCGGGAAATCCCTACCTTCTCAGCCAGCTTCCACAGCCGGTGGGGCTACAGCAGCAGGAGGTGGGAGCAGAGGAGAGGTGAGGACACCAGACCAACAGACACCAAAAATCCAGGACACACACAGACACATAAACAAACAACCCAACAATAAAAGTGGGATGAAGAAGAGAGAGGGGTGGGGAGGAAAATGCAAAAAGCAGGGAACAAAGTAAAAAGAAGATCAAAAACAATGTCAAATATGGAAGTCGTTAAAATCAATCACTGTACCATTAAAGGTTAAAAAAAATCTAAAAAGATGTCCACATATCCACAGAGCAACAGAGGAGAGTAACAGATGACTAGCCACGGGAAGGTGGACCTGAGTAATTGCTTTTAATACATATGGTCAGTGGGTTTTGATTTTATGGTACCTTTCTCTAGTTTCTTTTCTTTTCTGAGAAAGTGGGGAGTATGAATTTTATTGGCCAAATCTGTCAAGTGTTCCTCATTGAAATAGTTTCAAGTTTCTTACTACAACAATGAAGGGGAGCCTGGAAGTTTGTGGATCTAAAATCAGGGTGTCTAGCCCTACTCACCTACAAGATTAGGAAAAGAAAAGAGGTCAGAGTACGAATGAAGCGTGAATCAAACCTTGGGCTCCTAGGTGGTCTAGCTCAGCGGTGGCGGGAGGGACCCCCCAGTGAGCACCCTGCTTCACCCTCAGCTCTGTCCTCAGAGACGCTGCCTTCATTTCTCTCTTGTCTTCCACGGTTTTGGTGCCCACCTCTACCCCTGTTAGAGCATCTATACCCACGGGGGAAAGACTCCAGAAAGCAACGTGGGCAAACTTCTCTGATGTTGTGTATTCCCTGGCTGACCCTGTGTCTTTCCCAAACACTCCTAGAAAAACTAGAACAGGGCCAAGTTCTCCCTTGGGTGCGGTCCTGACCCCGTCATCACAGTCACTAGGTGGGCTCCAGAGACAACAGCAGCAGCAACAAAGAAGGAGCTCTTCACTAGGTTTCCTGAGGCTGCAATTTGTGAATAAACAAGGCCAGACTGAAAAACTATCATCACGCAACTTGGAGGCAAGTCTATTTAAAAAAAAAAAAAAAAGTAATGGTTCCAGATTTAAAAATTACGATTCCATCCTTCTCTCTGAGACTTCCTTCACTGTGGTAACCATGGCTACTGCTTTCTCTCAGCATCTCTATTTTTAGAAAACTGAGGCAGGACTCCAGGAAAGAGAAGAGGGCCAGGAAAGGTGTGTGTACCTGGAAGGCACACACGACTTTCACTGGGTCTCTTCAAGCTGAATGCAATAATTTAAATAATTTCTCTCATGATTCTTTGAATCCCAAACATTAATTGGAACAAAACTAAGTCCATGTTCTCTCTGTAAATTATTCTAATGCACAATTTTTAAAAATAATGACTCAAAGTAGTATCTCAGAAGAAAAATACACATGACTGGGAACACGTTTCCTATCTTGTAAATGCGTGGAGGAGATAACATCTGGAGCAAAATCAGTCTACTGACTAATGAGGGAGACGTGAACAAACAGTTAATGTACAGGTGTTTCCAAGTTTCAAAAACCCTAAGGTAGAAAACTCTGAGATTTCAAGATAAATAGTAGGGAGTGCATATTTAACAAAATCTTTACTTTGCCAAAGAATGCAAGCTGGAGTTCCTTTAACTAAGGAGTATGCTCCTAAGTATTTAAAGATAACGGAATACTTCCAGAAGGGACCAGCAAGAAAGCAAAGCTATCTATTCCAACCAAAGTTTATCAGAAATGAAGTCGAAACATGTTTGAAATTGCAAGTTATATTAATCAGAAAAGAGGATTAACTTTAACGTTCAGTTGTATAATAAAAAGTGACATATGGACATACAGTAAAAATCATTTTTTCTTATTGTCATAAAAGTGTATCAGTTAGGTATTAAGCACTTATTGAACAAATGAGTTATATTTAAATCTCAGCTGTAGATATACAGACTCACATCCCAAACACAGCACAGCCAATTCAACCCAGCACTTATCTGAACACCTCGGCTGAGTGGTACTTTTCTATTCAGCAACTCACATACTATAGCATTAGTACAATCTAGTATTAGCACATAACTCCTTAAGCTTAAGTAGCAAATTCTAAGCAGAAACGTGATATAAAGACACGGTTCCACAGTACTGATACTGGGCATATATACTGTGCTGGTGTTTGAGGAGTTGAGGGAGTTTCCCATAACTGGGGGCACAGGAGGCAGCTCTGCAGGACTGGATTCCAGCAGGGTATGGGCACAGCAAAGTGGCTCATCAGTGGGCTCTTCCCCCCTGAACTTTAAGCAGTGTTTCTGCCTGCATGACCCCAAGGCACATTCTTTGGTCCTCCTAGCAGATCTGTGTATTAATAATGATGTTTTCACTATTTTAACTGAGATTTGAGCTTTCTTTTGATAAGCACTAGTATGGTGCAACTTTTCCATGCTTATACCTTTAATCTATTTGTGTCTTTATTTTTAAACCATGTTTGTTTTAGGCTATATATAACTGGGTCTTGCTTTTTAAAACTCCAACCTCATGATCTCTGCATCTTAAATGAAGTGGTAGAGGATTTATATTTATTACTGATGTGATTATGTTTAAATCTATTTTTTGTTGTTTATAATTCATCCCATCTATCCCCCCACCTTTTCTCTACCTTCTTTTATAGATCCACTCTCTCTCCTCTGTTGGCTTATTAGCTACAACTCTTTGTTTTTCTAATTCTAGTGGTTACTTTATGGCTTATAGCATACATCTTTAATTTTCCAGTCTACCTTCAAGCGATATTACACCAATTCACATGTTGGAAGAACCTTATGATAGTATACTTCCATTTTTCCCTCCCAAACTCTGGGCAGTTGCTGTCACCAGTTGACTTTTATAGATGATATAAACCCTACAGTATATTACAAGTTTTGTAAAGGCAGTCAATTACCTTTTAAAGAGACTCAATAAGAAAAAAATCTTATATGTTTACCTATGCACTTGCCATTTCCAGCATTATTCATTCTTTTGTATAGACCCAGATTTCAAACTGGTATCATTTCCCTTCTGCCTAAAGGATTTCCTTTAATATTTCTTGCTCTGTGGGCCTGCTAGTAGTTGATTCTCAGCTTTTGTATGGCTAAGAAGTTTTTATTTCAAGTTTGCTCTTGAAAGATATTTCCTTTGACTACTATGAAATTCTAGGTTAACGGTATTTTTCTTTTAGTATTTAAAAGCTGTTTTCCACTGTCTCTTTGCTTACATTTCTGATGAGAAGTCTGATGTCATTCTCATCACTGTTCCTCTGTAACTTGATTTTTTTCATCTGCTTTTCCCTGTATCATTGGTTTTGGGCAATTTAGTTAAGCAGTTTCCTTCACGTTACATTGGAGCAGTGGGATTTGTGGGTTTATAGTTCCATCAAATTTGATATATTTCTTCACGTATTTTTTTCTAGACCATACTCTTCTTTTTCCTCTTTCATGGGAACTCCTATTATATGTATACTAAGTCCCTTGAAGTTTCCCCCGATTTCACTGATGCACTTTCCATTAAAAAATACTTTTTTCACGTTTCATTATGGAAAGTTTCTATCTGTTCAAGTTCACTAATCTTTTCTTCTGCCATTGATTCCATCCAGTGTATTTTTCATCTCACATATTATAGTTTACATTTCTAGAAGTTCAATTTGAGTATTTTTTTTAAACTTTCCATGTCTTTTCTTAACTTTCTGAATATGTGGAATACAGTTAAAATAACTTTTAGTGTTCTTGTCTATAAATTCAACATCTGTGTCAGTATGGTTCAGTTTTGATTGACTAATATTTCTCCTCATTGTGGATCTGTACCTGCTTCTTGGTATGCCTGGTAATATATATATTTTTTGGTTGCACTGTGTGGCACATGGGATATTAGTTCACCGACCAGGGATCGAACCCATGCCCCCTGCTGTGGAAGTGCAGAGTCTTAACCACTGGACCGCCAGGGAAGTCCCTGCCTGATAATTCTTTATAGGATGTCAAACACTGTAAATTTGACCTTGCCTGTCACTCATCCCACTGTGTTCCGGCTTCCCCTGTATCTGATGAGAGTTCAGCATCATTTTTATTATTGTCCGCCTTACATAATACATCTTTATTTTGCAGCTGCTTTAAGAATGTCTCTGCTGTTGGCTTTCAGCACTTTGGTGACGATGTGTGTAGGTGTGTTTTTTTAAGCTACTGTGCTTGGCGTTCACTGAGATTCTTGAATCTGTGTGTTGATATCTCTCATCAGTTTTGGCCGCTGGGTCTTTAAATTGTTCTTCTGTCCCATTTTCTCTCACCCTCTCCTTCTGGGACTCCTATTACATGCATGTTAGACAACCTGCTATTCCACAGATCTCAGAGGCTATCCCATTTTATTTTCATTCCTGTTCCTCTTGCGTTTCAGTCTGGATAATTTCTATTGACTGGATTTCAAGTTCACTCACTGACCCTTTCCCTGCTGCATTCAGTCTGCTATTAAACCATGAGGAATTTTTAAGACTGTAGTTTTCATTTCTAGGATTTCCATTTGTCTCTGTTTTGTGGTTTCTATCTTTCTGTGATATTCCTCATCTCTCCATGCAAGGTGTATACCTTTCCAACTAGATTCTTTAACATATTTATCATAGCTATTTTAAAGTCTCTGATAAATCCAACATGTCTATTCTACTGACTCTATTGACCGTGTCCTTTCATGGCCATGTATCCTATTTTCTTTCTTCGTTGCACGTCTTTTTGATTTTGATTGTAAAGCAAACATTGTGTTTAAAAGCACAGTGGAGACTGAAGTAAAAACATTTACCCCCAGAAAAGGGCACACTCTCTCCTGTCAGCCCACTAGTTTGTGTGTCTGAGTGAGCTTGGTCTGGGATTTGTGGCAATGTTAGATTTCATTCATGTTGGCTTCCCATACCTGTGAGCATAATCAGCACTTTGGATCTGAGCACTAGTAAGATTCTGGATACCTCTTTATGCTTTATAGCTTACAGACTTGCTTTCCAAACTGTGGGAG